GAAAATGCACAAAGCTTTCTGGGTAAAATTGTCCGTAAAAATGCTGGAGGATCGAAATTCTTGTGAAGAATTATTCATTTTCTAATTTACACTACTAAGCGTCTGTGATGTCAGCCTTAAGCTCGTAGAAGTTCTGAACCCGTTAAAGAAGTAAAGTTAGGTTAAATCGCTTGTGCATGTTGCCAGTTACGCAACGGCCATTAGAATTTTTATGAGGAGCCTCTTATTTCATGCCAGAAATACACTACGATGGGCGATCGTAATTACAAAAAAAAATTATTTTTTACAATTTTGAATGTTGGTGAAACCATGACTTAAATCCTGGACCCTGAACGTTAGTACGCAATGCTGACTACTCGGCTACTGCAGCTTCTCGTTGTGCTAACAGTTTTTGGAGCGCTGTTTTTCTTTAAGCAAATTGAAGTAGACGCTTTTGAGCTTCATCCATTGCTGTTTAAAGGTCCTGAAGCTTTTTATCACCAAGTAAGATCAGCTCCTTGCTATTTAACGGCGCGCCCTCACACAGAAGACTAGGTACATTTCCAGCAGGGGATGTCAACCAGACCTGATTTGAAGAAAAATTAAGAGCTTAGTTATTCCGCAACTCATGGTTTGTTGTTGTCTAATTCCATCTCTTTGGCCAGTTTATCGCCAAATCTTATTGCTCTTCTCGCCCATATGTGTCGATACCTAATAATAAACGAAGGCTTTTCTTCGCCAAGCTGTAGAGCTTCTCTATAGCACAATCACTATTGACTTTGTATGACAGTAAGTCCCTGGAGGATACTGCAGTGTTTTGGGAACTTGCATTACCTCATATTTATTTGTGGGTGGGTCCGTTAAACTACAGGACCTCTACTCAATACATTTTAAAGCCACCTTTAAAGACTCGAATACATATGTACATACATATGCACTTATGAGTATAGGAGTTTAGGAAATACTCCCCCGTTTCGTTGGTATTCCCACTCGAGTACGAACGAAAAGCTGTTACGATCCACTGTCTCTAAAACGGCAGTCTCCTTGGTGTTTCGAACCCCGCCCGTCAAACATTAGCATGGGCATCTATTCTCGCGAAGTGCGCGTGTGCTCCAGCTCCAGTGCTTTCAATTCAATCAATTTTTTCTTTGCAATTTCACTGCTTGTTTCTGCCGCCCTCGGCGCTGTATTTCCTTACGGACCTTAACTTTTGGCTTTACAGTGTCGACCTTTTGCGTCTCGATCTTTTAGCTGTCTGACTTTCGTTAGATAACCGACTTTTTTTTTGCAATTTCTTCTCCAATCTGGCTAGAGAATCTTAGATGCGTGGTGGTGAAGCACGACCGTGCTCCTCCTTAGCGCCAGGCCACCTTAATTCTTCACATAAACTTGGAGTTAAATTCTTAAGCACCTTGGCTGACATCTTATACACAAATCACGCTAAGTCTTCAAACCCGCTCCAATGGCTTTATCCTTAGGTCTATTCTTTCTTGACCAACAGTGCCGTTTGACGTCACGCGGACGCAATACTTTCAATGTCTATGCCTTATTGGACTGTGATATACTTTCGTTGCAGCTTAGCTCACGCAGTAGCAATACAATCGCTGTGAACTACTGCAAGTAAATTCGATGTATTCGCCGATATTAGTAGCCATTTCTTCCGAGGACCTTTGGGTTGACATCTCAGTCTGCTTCTTAACTTTTTAACTTTGTGGAATTTTTCTATCAGGCCGTCTCTACCTACCCGCCTCCTTTAGTACTGCAAGCAAAGCAATACGCTAGGGCAAAATAAATGGATACCCTTACCTTGACCTTCGCTAGACGCCGGTATACGGCCGCTCTGGGTACTAGCTCAGGTACCAGGCTACCCCACAGTCAATAGGGACGTTCATTACCCAGTCGATAACTTATGACAGATCCTTCGCCTATGTATCTGAAATCTGAATACCCAACTTCGTATAAAAATTCCCCGAAAATTCGATGGGAATCCCTCGCCGCTCAGTACAATCTCATGTTGTTTTGTTGAACACTCATTCTGCGAAAGAATAAAAAAGCGATGAGATGACTAATATCATTCACTTACCTATCTTCAACATCTGCAGTGTCTATATCAATAAAACTAAACGAAAGCAAACAGAGCGATGCAACATTATCGAAACAATCAACAACATTACAGTTATTGCTGCCTCCACGAACGCGGCGAATGAACAATGGACGAGAGACGTACATATATACATATACATATGTACATAAAAAAATTAAACAGCGAACACAGCAAAGTAATAATATTTGACAGAAACAAAACGCAATAATAACAATAACAATTTGTCGTCTTGTCGTCAATACACACGCGCATACACTAGGCCAGGGATGTTTTTGTGTGTGTGCTGAATTGTGCAGTGTTGAAGGCGAGTCGATTATGATTTTCTCTTTTGTGCATTTTTTTTCTTTTCATTTCTCTTATTTGCCGCGTGCGTTGTGCGAGAGAGTGGGAGAGCGCGGTTGGACGTTTGGACGGCCAAATCTCACTGTGCGTTGAATGCGTGAATCAGAAGACATTACGTGCTCCACAAGCCTAATTCAATAAAAAGAAAGGAAATAAAATAGGGGAAAAAATAGAAAATAATAAAAATAAATACATATATATAACCTGAAAAAGCAGCTGAATAATATGTAACCAACCGTACGGCGTCGGTGGCGGCAAAGTGTCGATGTTGTTTATTTTGTTGCCGCCATCACGTTAGCGATTGTGCGCCAGTGCTATTACGTTGCTGACGCTTTCTTCAGCCACTCAACGCTATGGAATTAAAAACCACAAATAGGCGACTGGTCGAAAATTTTCAAGTTGATAGCGAAGAAAATAATTCGCGCCACACGTACGCGCAATTAAAAATTATTTGCTCTATTCCACAGTAACGCGGGCGCGGCTTCTCGGTGTTGGCGACGCCAAAATGAAAATTGGTAAATGATAAAAATTTTTTTGAAGTGCGAAATTTGAAGCCTCAACGTGCGGTAACTAAAAAAGAAAAATTATTTAAATATTTTTGCCTATAAAGTAGTGGAGAAATTGGTGAAATAAAATAAATAAAAAGAAAAAAGTATAACCGAAATGAAATAAAGCCAAAAGCTACTCCACAAAATCACTCTTAACCTGCTGATCAGCAGTTCTCTTTGCTTTGAGTGCTACCTTTAGGTGATATAGCTCTAAATGATGACCCTCGACAGAACTCCACAACCGATTAGTGTTGAACGTCTTGCTATACTTCCTTGTTAGATATACGTTTGGTGGTATTCAGAGTCCACACTGAGGGGCGACTGCATGAGGAAACACTTAATTGATGTTCCCACATCTAAAGCGTGTGCCCCTGCGCGTTAGGGGTTCAAGAATTTAACCGCGGAGGTGACTAAAATCCAATTGTGCCTGCGACAGTTGGGTCTTTATACCGCAACGGCTTGGATTTTTATCCGGCCAAGGACTGTAACTCTCGCAACATTTCCCAAAAAGTACTTTGGGGAATATTTTTGTGGTTACAACAACAACAACAATCTTGTCATCGGTGCTTTTGGGTAAAATTCAATTTTTCTTACAAAAAGGTTCAAAAATATTTCAAAGCTTAATTTTAAAGACCACCACGGAGATCTAATGAGTTCTATCCATCCGTCTTTTAATCTATCTACTTAGAAGTGCTGGACCATACTTTTTTAACCTAGCTTTGGATGCGCCATTCCGATACTTCTTCTTGATTGACGTTGGCCTCGCTTACGCGATTATAACCGAATTAATTATAGCGCGCATTTCATCCCTCTTTTTGTACTGCTTGGCGCCAGTTGGAAATACCAATTGAGGCCCGAGGCTCGAAGAAACTGTTTAAGCTTGCAATCCTAGAGTTTTGAGCCGAATTTATTGGACTGCATGACATTGACAGAGAAAATAGCAAAGTATTTCCCTATTCCTTTGACTAATAATTGCTCTAGTTTGACCTAATTAACAGACCCTTTGCTCTTGTCCTATGGTACTTAAATCACATCTGTTTCCCTATCTTTGGAAGATGTATTTCCAACTGTTCAGTGATATTTGTTCGAACTACAAGTAAAACCTTTTGCTGATCATTCTCTAAGCACTCCGTTTCAAAGTCATCAGGTCAGGAATTGATCTCAACTTAACTAAACTGTTAGGTTTTCTGAGCCGTTAGCGAGCTTTGCACTTTCTACAATTGTTGGCCACCAATGTCGACTGGTTATTCGAGTTGCCTTCTATACCTAGTACTTTCGCTTGAAAGATGCTAGCTGAATTTAGCAGATGATGCGAAGAAAGGGTCTCGTCTGATTAGTTTTGGGATGGTATCCTCTTCTCACACAAAACCTCTACACCGTTCACGTAATACCTCTTTGTATTCCATTCAAATTCCTCATATTATACTGTTTCTGTAATGCTGACCACCAAACCAAGTCCACAAATTGCTATTTTGACGAATATTGGGCGCAGTCATAGTTCTTGGGCGTTTAAAAACCTCATTGTTCTGGTGGAAAAATCAGATTGACTCGAAAACTTTTGGATTTTACTCACCTGTTACGGCTGGCCTGCATTACCGCATATAAATTCTTGTACTTCAGAGGCGGTCACGGAGGAATCGGTCACCTGTCAGCGAATTTGAACGCTCTGATTGAAATAATAATAATAATTCGTTTGTTCCTTATGCTCTGCTACCGGAATTGCCCGGTTCACTAATCCAAACGAGGGTTGTAACGTCTACCATGATCGCAATTAAGAGATTTATTTTTATTCAATTTAATAATTACCAAGAGTTTTTTCTTTTTATTTGACAGCTCTACTTGTCACAATTTTACTGCCAACAATGCTGAAGCCACTAATCAGGCTACTACTCGTTAATTGTACGCACTCTCCTGTCTACTGTAGTGAAGCACTGCTCTTCGATGCACGCAATATGCAAACATAAATATTTTCTTCACCGAAGCACCAAGCATGCGCTGAACCTACACGCTACGCTCTTTAGCGGAGTCTAGCTCTCGCTGTCTGTTCTCTTCTGCATCACGCTGGTTTAGCTTTTGCTTATGAGGTGGTCTCTGGTCTCTGTTGGGCGTTCAGTGCTGTCGCACATATTAGTCGCGCTTTCAATTCGCTTCGTTGCGGTGTTCCAGCTTGTTTGGTCGCGCAAGCATAACGATTACGTTAGTCAAGACAGTCGTGCGGTTGACGCTAAACGCCACGAATACATACGGCGGGTATACGACGGGTATACGACGAGTACGGGTGGGTTCAACATATTGGGAGTGTTTTAGAGCTTGCAGCTTTTTCTTCGCTGCTGTGCTGTGGAAAATGTGTATGAAAAGAAAATAATTTGATTAATTTCTAGCGATTTTTGTGCGCGAAGAAAGAAAGTGAAAATCTCACAATTGGTGTGTTGTAAAATATTACAGCAACTACTTTGAGCTTATAAAATCAATTAAAAACAAGTGTTTTATTTTCTTCTGGCAAACGAGCCACCCAAACAGGTTCTGCCATATGTGTTTGTGGTGAGAAAAAAAAATAAAGAAAAAAGCAGAAAAAAGCTGAAAAATTCGAAATAAAACTAAATATTTAGTTTTTGCTTTTTATATAGCAATATAATTTTAAAAGTGCACCACATATGCCGGCCATATGTTTTCGAAATTGGTGTTTTCTTCAAGTGTTTGCAGCTTTTTGAAATTATAAAAAGTAAAAATAAATTTTTGTCGTTCAACGCTAATCTCTCCAACAGCTGTGCTTGCGAACCTACCTGTTTGTATGTACATAAATGTGTAAATTTATGCTATTGACATTTGCTGTTGCTGCTGTCTGTTTGTAATACAAATAATTTTTTAATTCAGCCATAGGGCCAGCAAAATCGACAAAGCGGCGAAAAAACCAAATAGAAAAGGCGGTAAACGCTGTGTAAATTATTGAAAGAGGTCAGTGTCAGTAAAAAATTTAAATAAAAAAATATGTATACTAAATAATTAAAAAAGAATTTAAATATTTTATTACATACATATGGGTCGTTCACTAAGTGATTTCGCCTGATGACAACTGGTCATCTTATTGTTTTTTTTTTTTCGCAACCAACTTCGCACTTAACCGCTTTACCGTTGTACATTTGAACAGCTGATAAGGCTTGTTTGTAAAAAAATTTTGTTAAATAATTTGGAATAGCGAAAATGGTAAATAAATCGAAAACAGTATTTTCGGCACATTTTACTGTTTTACTGACGGCAGGGTCAAAATACAGCTCAAGCAAAGCGAAAATTGTGTGACGTTTAAGGAGAACGTGTAAAACGGATGAGCCGGCTCAAACCATTTTTTTTTTTTTTTTTTTTATCTTTTTACCGACCACGATTGATTCGAAAGTGTACTGTGATCAGCTGGACCAATTGAGTGATGTACTCAAATAGCAGCGGTCAGAATTGATAAATTGAAAAGGTGTAGCGTTCCACGAGGATAATGGGTGACCTCGTATAAGTTTGATCGTTCGCCAAACAACAAAAAATCGTGTTTAAATTGCACTAAGGATAAAAGTAAACGTAATTACTAAGTGAACGACCCAACAACTAAATGTTTACAAATATAATAAAATATGCTTTTGTTTATTAAATGTGCCTGCATTTGCATAAGTCAAATAATTCTAATAAATATTGCATTTTTATTTCCTTTTTTATTCGTTTTTTTGCTTTTTTTTTTAATTTTTTTTTAACTTTATCTTTAAAAAATTTTTTTCTAAATTTATTTTATTTTTTTCCGCTCTGCTAATGATAACCTCTTGCTGCACTTTTGCCTAAATCAACTGCAAATAAAAAAGTGTAGTGCAAATCATTTTTAAATATTTTGCCGTTAATTAAGCGCATTAAGTACAAGTAATAAAAATACATAAATGAAAATAAAACAGCATTTGTCTTAATTATATAGTTAAATATGTTACGTTTGTTCCTAAAGAAAAAACAGTGCAATATAAATACCTCCCAGTTAATTATTATCTCTAATAGGGTGACTCCTGTGCTCTTTTTTGTGGAAATATTTATTTTAAAATAAATATTTCCATTTTTGATTTTGTTTGTAAATAAGACGCGGCTCTTATCGCTTAAACGGTTTCTAAGCCAATAAAGACAAAGAAGCGTAGTAGCAGCAACATATCTGATTTGACAGCTGTCACTCAAATTCTGTTGAGTACTGTTGTTTTAATTTTGGCTTATCTTCTAAATTGTGTTCGATTTTATTTTCGATTGCTCCATAATTCTCAAATATCAGTGAGTTCTTGGCGATTTTGTTCACCTTATTATACTCATCTCTCTAATGTTTACCCAGATGACATTGATAACAGATGGTTTATAAATTTCTATAAACAAGTGCAGTCAAAACACTATTATAAAAATTTTTAAAATAGAAACAGAATAATGAAATTGTTGCAATAAAAGTAAAAAGTGAATTCAGAAGTGGAATAAATTTTTTTGGATGTGTTTTACTTTACAGAGTAAAATGCTTGGAAAAAGCACATTTTGGTTGCTTTGCATTACATTTTGTTTTTAGCGCCATCAACACCACTGGAAGTGGTGATTCAAGCTTAAGTCTAATCTTATATACATATATCTAATCTTATATACATATATAAGATTATATCTAATTTTAGCAGCGGTGGCTTTATACGACTGGTTACCATTGCGTAATATAAGAGGAGGGTCATTAGTTTGATGAAATTATTCTAATTTCGAACACCTTTGGGCAGGGAATTGAGTATTTCCAACTTGAAATTAGACTTCATCATGAAAATCCATCAATTGTTCGTAGGCGGCATGGAATAAACTCTAAGTCACCAAGTTGCTGGAGAAACTCAAGACGTACTCCAGAAATTGGGTAATGAGCTCAGTCGAATCCTTCGTTGGTTACAAAACGCTATGCATATAAAGATAATCTTCCATCCGTTTATACCGAATTCAATATAGAGATGGGCGGGAGATGAATTTATCTTTAAATCCTCTAGTACCTGTTCGCGATCTCTGCTTCTTCTGTGACATCAATAATCACTCTTCAATTTAATGTAACAAAAGTGTGTTCATTTCCTTTCTGCTTGTACTAGTACTGACCTTACAACGAAATCAAAAAGTGTCTGCCATTAAAGTCTGTACTTGCCCACACTGCTTGCTGCGCAGAACTAATGACCTTTAGTATCCCACACCAGCTTTACCACGTGTGCAGTCGGCATTGTCTTTTCGTGTGCTCGATCGATGGTAAACCTAAAGTGGCGCCCCACTCTCTCCTGGCTAATTGTCATGGTGTCTTCATCGAAAGAAACTAAATATCCAGGAGCAAGCAAAAATCTTTGTATTGTCTTTTAAAACACTATAAGTACTAATAAAAACTTGTTGGATTGCATTCCACAGACTTTATGCCATATTAATCCGTACTCTTGGATGAGTACTATATCTGCTGCTCAAGCCTTTTGTAGAGGTCGCAGTGCAGTTGTTGCTGCCTTGCAGAATTATTTACAGCACCCTGAATATCGTGTAGAATCTGTACACATTTTTTTTGTGGAGTTTGCTACACCGTACGACATCAGTTGCTCCATATTCTTTATTCCATCATGAAGTTATTTGTCGCATTGGGATCATTATTGTAGACCTGGACTGTGATTGTACCGGTGCCATATTATATTTTTCCTCTCGCTCGTTTACGTCATCTTGGCACCTTTACCTATCAGACACTACTAGGCATCTGTAAATTGGATAGCCTGATCTTTTTTAGTATTTGATTAGATTTTAGATGCTTCACAGATTTTCGCCTCTTTTGTTTGGCTGGCAAGTCCTTAAAGGTTAACGCTTTGGGTCGCGCTCCAGGGTAAACCAATCCCCATCTACCCATGCAAAAAGATGGCGCCGCTCTAGAGTTATCCAGAAATACTTAAAGCGCGACTACCGCCTACTCGATTTTCTCCTAAAGTCGTGTTTCCCTTTTTAATCAAAAAATAATAGATTTTGAATCTTTTGCGCTTGTTCATTGTAAACTCTGTCGATCTGTCCCATTTCCTGACCACTTTTGGGACCATCAGCTGGGTGCAAATTGTATTTTGGGATAACTTTATCGGCCCATTCCATATCTTTTCCATTTGCTGTTTGCTCTCGTGGAGGGTTCAGTCTGAAGACTTTTTGAAAGGAAACGTTTTAAAAATTAAATTTTTCTTTCAAATATACAATTTAAAATGGAGCCACCATATTACACTTATATACATATTTATATTTGTATAAATATATTTACTAGTTATTTATACATTCACCTGTGGCGTGCAAATTATGTTGGCGCGAGCTCGCGTTAAATAACCTTTTGCTGCCGCTCACTCAATCATATATTTATTGCACATTAGTTGGCAAACACACATACGAACACACATACGTGTATGTATGCAAATCACTCTGTATATAAATATATTTTATCCAGTGATTTATGAACTTTCCACAACTTCTGTCAGTGCGGTTGGCTAGTTTCCATAGCGAGACGGGGGAAGAGGGGCGTTGAGCGAGGGGGGCTCATTAATTTGAAATTGCCTGCCAACGATTTCTTTTGTACATACATAATTATATCAATGGCCATTTTAATGACTATTTTCCGCTTTCATTTCACTTTTTTTTGTACTTCTCTTCTTTGCTTTCTTGTTTTTATTGTTATTGTCGGTTATTTAATAGTGGAAATAGCAACCGAAAATTAATGCTCACACTATTAATATGTGATTAATAGCCACAGATAATTTACCACAAAAAAAAGCAGAAAAAATAAATTAAATAAAGCGAAGCACGTGAATCAAACTTTGCTTTAAATTTCATCTTTTTACTTCACTAAAAACTGTGCTCAGATTTTAATTTAATTTTCAATAATATTATTACGATTTAATTGCATTAAGTGATCACAGTCCATTTTGATTTTGCCTTTTTTTCTATAGTTTGAGTTAGTTAGCTTGCAATCCATCACTTCAATCACCTCAAAATCGTTCGTTATGGGTTTTCTGCTTAATTTGAGGTCCTTAGGGCTGTTGAGATGAGGCTAAGTAAGGCTATGTTGAGTTAGGTTGATGTAGTCATCGATGTGGGATCAGCAATGCCATTTGATCAGAGTAGGCTCATTGTGATATCACGATATTTACCCGTTCACTAAGCTACACTTTCCAACCACTTCGTATCCTTTATAAATTTCATAAAATAATTTACTTTATTGTCTACTACCGCAGTCGCTTAAAACATGAGAAACAGTTTCTGCCTCTTCATTGTTCTCTGAAATATGATCCAAAGCAACTAGCAACCTCGCTGCATATCCCAGCACTAGCCTGTTAAGTTTCGTTTAACCTTTTTGATGTTCCTTCTTTAATGGAAGTAAATTTCGCTTAAGCTGTTCCGATCCCATTGTGGCCAAGTTTAAATGGATGCCTTGCAATTAGCAGTGTGATTCCATCTTACTTCGACCTGTTCTTAAGTGAATTCTTTGAGTACGAGTTTGGTTGAGCCAAAAGAAATACCAATGCTTAGTTTGCCCTAAAAGAATCTGCTTGGTCCTATCCTGCATGGCAAGCTCGCCTGCATCACCAATTTCCCTCTCTATCCCTCACTTGTAAGTTCGGTTCCAATGCTGTCTCCATATTGTCTAAAATTTCGGTCTGGAATCTCATGCAATGTTCTGGTAGCTTGAGAAAGTGCTCAAAAGATGGGTTTCTTAAGAAATTACCTCCGCAAACTCTTACACCAAGTTTCGAACTGTCCGTATATAACTCAATACTAGCGACTGCAGTATCGAAGTATTGCCCCATTATTCTCTTTTACTTATGTATATGGATTGTGTTGGGCAGCCTGGTTTGAAATTTGCAGACAGGGAGCGACTATCACTGCAGTCTGGGGCTAAAGTTGTTTCCCATGTTTCAGCTTCCCTAATCCTAACTCCC